GGGCGCGGGGGCCCTCGGGCCGCGCAGGGCCAGAGCCGGAAGCCGGGAGGGGCTGGCGATCCGCTCGGAAGGCTGGGGAGCGAGGCAGGCACAGGGGGCGCGGGCCGCCGAGGCCGAGCGCGCCGGGGACGGGGTGCTGGTGGGCGGAGAGAGGCTGCACACCGAGGCCTGATCCCGTGGGGGTCTCGACACGGAAAGGCCTGGGCGCTGGGGAAAGCCGAGCCCCTCGGCGCGCCGCCCGGGGCCCTTCCCCAGATGCACTTCCTCCTCCCGCGGTGGGGGTGGCGCTGGAGGCGGGGTGGGGGCGGCGGCCCGCGAGGGCCCCGGTCTTCTCCGCAGTCGTTCGTCGTGGCCTCTTGCCAGACCGCTCGAGCCCATGCCCCCGGCCTTAGCCCCGTGTGCTCCGTGTGTCTGAAGTCGGCGTGTCTCCAGCTTGCCGCGCTGGTGTCCACCCTGCCTTTCTGGAGCCGGCTTTCTCCTCTCAGGCAGCCCCCTTCACTGTCGGCCAATCCTCCCTCGAACCACCGCCGCCGCCGAGACTGCCTCTTATTTACTTTTGCCTTTTTCTCTGTGGTCACTTTCTGTGCCTCCTCCAGGTACCATTTCCCGCCTCTTTTCTCTGTTCACTCAACAAGTACACAGAGCCCGGCAGGGCCTACCCCTCACTGGGCTGAAACCGGAGGAATGCGCCAACTTAGCGTTGCCTGTTAGCTTCTGACCGCCGTTTCCTGCTGTCTCCTTACTTATCTGTAGTTTTCTCCTGGCAGTCTCTTTCCTAGCTCTTATTTATATACATAAGTGTTTACATGTATGTCTGCGCCTCCTACCAGACAGACCATCAGCTCCAGGGCATAGTTCTTGTCCCATTCCACTCTAGACTACTGGGGAGCGCCACAAAGAAGGCTTTGTACATGGCAGATGGGGACGATGCTTGTCCGCTAAGTTACGATGATGCTTGGTGCCCATTTTATGGGCAGTACTACCTGTTAACACCTGAAGCTTAACACACTTGGCCTCCCCCTGTGTTTTGAATGCTGTGTCTTTGCCCCATTCTAGGATTTCCCTCTCCTGCCTTTTTCTCTTGGTTGACTTTATGTTCTTCTTGCCTTGCTTATTGCAGTAAGAAAAAAAATAAATAAAAAGAAGAAAAACTCTGCTGGCTGTTAACCCTCCTTTGCAAGTCTTCCTGAGCCTGATTATCTTGTTTTCATTTTTTACCCTGTATTTCTCCAAATATCTAGAGGGCCCAATTTTATAAACCTCCTGTCCATAACTCCCAACAGCCAAACTGTCTTGAACCAGGTGTGTAAGAAAACGAAGATTTCCTTTTCATTTCCCTCGTGAACAGGAGACGGCAGCTCTATAACCAAGGCTTAGACCCTCTTGGTGGCAGAAGTTTAGGAAACCACAAGATCTTAACTTTTCCAGACTCCTTAACTGAAAATGGTTTGAAATAGCTTCTGGAGGAAAACACGATGTCGTGAAGCTTCTACTATGTCGAGAAATCATTTGCAGTTGTCCTTAAAAATCTCCTAGACAGCCTCAAACAAAACTTGTTAATTAAGAGAATTACAATTTATCTCAAAAATGACCTAGACTGACCATTGAAGAATTGTGAGGACTGCCAGGAGTGCTGTTTTGTCAGTATGCTGTGTCTGGACTACCAACTATCATGTAAGAGGAGCTTAAGGAAGTGTAGTTTCTTAAGCATAGCCTATAATCCATATTCATTACCTTATTACATATTAATATAATGGGGTCCCTGTTTTGGAGTGGTGGTGTATAAACACTAAAGGGTTCAGCTGAGGCAAGTTTATTGCTGTTTTAATGAATGATTAACCTTATATTCATTGTTCTAGACACAGGATAAATACTATGGATGTTTTTACTTCTCTAACAAATAGTTTCATATATGACAAATTAGAAAAGCAATTGAAATGCAAGGTAATATATTCCCTTGGAGAATCATCCTGAGTCTCATCTTGAAACTACATGTCAAGTTAAAAATATCTTGGGTAATACTGTCTGGTAAATGAGAGTTCATTACATGAGGTAGAGGAAAATTCCTGCTTTTAGCTCAATAGCATTTTTGAGTTCCAACTTTACACTGAACGCCCCTTGTGATTTTTACAACATTGAAAAGAGGCATTCTGTTCTTTTATGAGATGCCTGGCTTTTACCTGCTCTTCATACTAACAGCCGACTTAATTTATAAGGGCTGCTAGCAAGGGAGCAAAATGCCTAGTGATTGGTAAGGCGACATAAAATTCATTGAGTGAGAAGGGCAGCTGAGCTCTCTGCTTCTCTTTCAGCAGCCTGCCAGGTCTGGGCTCACAGCAGTGGATGCTAGTTGCTCCAGTTGTAATTGTCTGGCCAATGATGATTATCTTCTGATGTCGGCTGACACGGGTGTTCACCAATAGGAAAGCAGGAGGCCTGTGCTGACTGCTGTAACATTATGTATGTGGGGTGACGTCATCACAGGGCTTGCCTAGAACCTCGTGAAGCCCTCCCCCGCTCCCCTCTGGCATCCTCCTCCACCTCCAGTCTCCCAGTGCTTTGTATTTTTTTGTGACTTGTTCCCCTCCCTCCTCCGTGGTGATGGTTATAAGGGTTTTACTATTTTTGTGTGTTCTGTGTGATAGGGCCTATAAGGTAGTGTAGAAATTTTTAGGATTAAATACTGTCTGGCTGAGAAAACCTTTTTATCTCCAAATTTGTTATTACTAAGGAAAAAAATGGAAAGAAGCACTATTTAAAAGAATTGTGCATCTCTATGTTCTTTCTTATATGTGAGGTTTAGAAAGTCACATGATGTGCAATTTCAGTATTAAAGAACATAAAAGCATTATGAGCCTGTATTAATATTTTACTCAAAATACAGCATCAAAGTGTCTATCAAACTTCAAAATGCAGGCTGTTGCTTTTCCTGGAGTGACAGTTGCTTTGCATTGATCCCTAAAATCCTCCTTGTGACCTGCTGTATGCCTTTGTAAGAAAAATGGCTGGAAAATAGTGCAGTCTGTGGTCATGAAATGGAAAAGGCCACAGTCTCATTTAATCAATGACAGGAGAGCAAATACAAATTTGGTCAGCTGTCTAGGAAAATACTGTGTCCACATTGTACTCATTATGTTGCTTGCCACTTATTTTGGAGAACCACAGTTCATATTAGCTTTAAAACTGTAAAGTCCTGAGTGTGAGGAACTTAACCTGTCATTCAATAAACTTTACAAAGCACTTGGATACTGGCCTAATAAGCACTAGGTTAAGAATGAGAAGACTGAGAAAATGTACACGAAAAATGTGAACCATGTTATGATCCTAAAAAAATAAAATCTTGTTTGGGAATTTTGACCTGAAAACTTTCATGTATCTTTAAAAAGTTGATGTATATTTATGCAGTCCTTGGTTTTTTTTTTTTTTAGAGTTCCCAGGAATAATGCAAATTATATTATCCATTTCTATATTTACATTAGCTCTAAATAGTG